AGCTTGACTGAACGAAATCCGTACTTCCCTTGAAATGAAGGGCATTGAGCATCGTGAGCTAGCCGAAACTGGGTGGCTTCTCATGTTTTACCATTTCGTGGATATGACCGAACATCTGAACCGACTTAACGTTAAATTGCAAGCCAATGGAAATACAGTGGTATCCCTTCAACAATCCTTGTTTGCTTTTGAAAACAAGCTTGAATTCTTCATCATGGATCTTGAAACAGATCGATAACTACATTTTGAAAATTTAAGATAGTATAAAGATGCATACACAGTCAGTGGGTCCACTCAAAACTTTGATCTACACCAGCTAGTTGGCTTCACATCCAGTCTCCTACAGTCGTTCAGTGCACGCTTTGGAGAATTTTGAGAGCACACCCGTCTTTTTAAGTAAATCGCCCATCCAACCGAGTGTTCACTGAAAACAGCCGACCTACGCTATATTCCTGGCCTCTCCGTTAGAGATTTCGAAGAAGAATCGGCTGACCTTAAGGCCTCAGACATGTTGATGAATAAGTTCAAGTCAATCAATGAAGATTTGGAAAGGATCGCACGAAATAAAGCGGCGTTCACAAGCGAGCATATGTGGACAGAAATTAGAAAACTTCAACACGAAGAGCTGATAATCAAAACTTGGAATACGCTTCCGGTCACATACCACACACTGCAGAGTGTGAGTATTGCTGTATTGACCCTGTTTGGATTTACTTATGCATGAAGCAGTCATTCTCACATCTTAGATACATCAAGTCCACAATAAGATCACAATAAGATCACGTCTAACGTATGAAAGCCTCGCCGCTTGTATGAAGCTTAACCTCACCAAATACCGACCAGACTGTAAAACCCTTAGCCAATCCATGCCACGCCAGAAGTCACATTAGCAATGAGTATTATAAGAAAATTATTGAAAAGAATAAATTCAGAAGCTTATTATACTAGCATTTAATAGAATTTCATTTTAAAATATACCATATGGCTCTTTCTGAAATATATTTCCAAATATTTGCTTTCTTGGCTCTCTGAGTTAAAAAGGTTGTCGACCCCTGGCCTAGTTTGTCGCCGCCACCCAAGGAAAAATTTCAGCATGCCCCTCAACGCCACTCTTGGCCGACAGAACTTATGCCACTAGACACGACACCCCTCGGGTAATGTCACACGCACCAATTGGAGAACACTTGAACCTGCTCCGCAACCCTACTTAAGCAGCTGCCACCACTGTCTCATTTTCTCTCAGGCCTGGCCGGACGCAGTCAACGCTAGCCCTGGCTTCACCAGTGGCCACTGCCGCCTAGGACAGCAATAGGGAGTTCTGTACACAATAAATAACTCCTTGCCAATAGAATTGAATATGAGAGTTCCAGGAATCTGTTCAGAAGAAGAAGCGACCACTGGAGCAAGAGTTTTACTGAGCTGGCTTTTCGGATTCCGTCGGCAATCCTTAATCATAGGCTATCGTAGAAAAGTCTGAGGCACGCGCAAATAAGGGTTATACGTGCACAGATTGCACGGTATTTATAGTTCATAGTGGTCATAAACAAGCGTACTATAATTATCAGTTCCTGTAGCCACCGC